GAAAATATCACTTTTTACCAAAAATGACAAAAATATTCACCAAAATTAGAGAATTAAAGATATCATTACAAAATGAACAAATCTGAGAGAGATCCACATGTAGTACCTATATATGTAATATCAAAGCAATTGCACTTGCGGTTTTCAACAAGAAGTCGAAAATATCACTTTTTACTAAAAATGACAAAAATATTCACCAAAATGAGAGAATTGAAGATATCATCATGAAATGAACAAATCTGAGAGAGGTCTACCCAAGGTACATATACACCAAGTATCAAAGCATTCAGGCTTGTAGTTTTCAAGAAGAAGTCGAAAAAGTAAAACATTGACACGGACGACGACGACGGACGACGACGACGACGGACAATCACTCATATGATAAGCTCCGCTCGACAAAGTCGACAGCGGAGCTAAAAATTAAAACTCAGACTATCTGAGATTTATATTCAAAGATGGAGAGAAGAACTAAATTTCAGTGAAACCAATGAAAATAGGGGAACAAAACTGAGAACATACAAACTATTCAAAGTAAGTTATAATATGGAAAATTATTTGCAAAACATTTCAAATTTCAGCCTCAGGAAAATGCTTTCAAAATTCCATCTGAGTGACCACAACTTAGAAATAGAATTAGGTAGAAGAACAAAGCCCAAAATAGAATTAGAAAATAGACACTGTAATAAATGTAACACTAAAGCATTAGGAGATGAAAAACATTTCCTGCTATTTTGTACTGGCTATATAGAACAAAGAAAAAAACTGTTTGATGAGTGTGCAATAAATATTTACACAATGGATGTGAATTCCATATTCAAAAAGATTATGGAGAATAATATAGCTTTAGCAAAATACTTAAAGAGCACAATTTTTAAAACCACAGAAAGTAATTAATTTATTTTTTTCTTTTATTTTACTAACATTTTATTTTTATCTCTTATGTATTGTATGTTTTTATGTTCCTTACCATACAAAAACCCTCTGAAGGTTTTTAGTAGTGTAA